GATCTGCGATGTACGGGGATTGCGATCACTCGTACGCTTCCAGATCCAGCATGAGTAATTGTAAAGTATTCTAATTGAGGAAAACCGGTTATAACTTAACGATATTATCGTTTTTTTTTGCTTTGAGACACAAATAGACAAGTTCGAGTTTACGAATATCACGGAGCAGATTAGCTGTAATTCGTCGGTGAGTTTATATGATTTGTATGTCTTTTTTCTATTATTGTATAATAGCTCATTAACGCCTTTTTATTCTTTACAGTAAATGTGCACTATGAATCAGAAGGTATTACCCAAAAGTCAGCACACAAATACAACTTGTCAAGATAATAACGCCATAAACTCAAATTTGTAAATTACAGAACGGTGAGTTAGATTTTCAAAATACTTCTTCGACAAATAATATGAGAAAAACGACTGGTGCTATCTCCGTTTTTATTTGGTTTTTTTAACTATTTTTACTTTGTTACAGGGTTTACCGACGACGCTGGTGAAGATCCGCACACGAATGTAGATACGATGATACGCCTGTTTATGAATATTGCGTTTGGAGTTGGCCCGCCCGTACATCCGTTCGTTTTTCGCGTGTTCTATTCGTGTGTTCAGATGCTTTATTAGATTAAAGATACTTTATAAATTTGGCAAATCCATATGTATGCGGATATTTCGATTTTTCTCAGTGTGGTGAAATATCGACCTTTATCATTTTACGCGTATTATTTTCCAAGTTAAATTTCGAACCTTTCTCAATTTACTTTTTCAGGTAAGGCTTCATAAGAATTTATACGACCGTATTTATCTGTTGTTACGCATATCTGATTTTTATGTACACTGTTCTGCTTAGGGAAGCCAACCACTCCCTTGACGTTATGGTAAAAAAAATTGCGCAACGGTATTCTTTCTTTACAACATTCTTTATAACGTAATGTACTGAATACAACTGTCATTACTGTTTCAATTCATATGAAGCGGGTTTATTAAAATTATCGTCAGGGGTTCGACAATTATCTGCGTTGACATTGGTATGTTTATTTATAATTGACGATATTATTTCAGCATTTTCGTAGTATATTCCCCAATTTAGTGTACTTCCATGTTATGCAAAACACACGTTACTTTATTTTCCAAAAATAAACCATTAAACCAATTATATTCCGCAAATTCAGGAACATAAATCAAAATCTTTGTTCCACTTGTCATTGACACCCCAGGAAAAACTTTCCACCATACGTTTTAACTAATCATGCATATCAAAAATTGACATTGCGAATAACTCACCAAGCATAAGAGATTATACAAACAACTAGTCTTACAACTACATCTAACTTGGTAAATTGACCAAGCTTTGATCCTATTAGCAGAAATACAAATGCAATCAGTAACACCGATCGACATAAAATTGTGAATATGCTTGAGTTTCTAAAACATTGTGATGATGACTCTTATATAGTAAAAGACGAGAGTATCAAATAGCGTAATAGACGTGACGTGGTCGTTGTGAAAATATGCTTTGACTTACAGAATACGTTGGCGATAGTCTCTATTGGCGCAGGATGTGAGTAAACATTGATTGAAAAAAAACCAATTCTCACATACAACATTCACTCAATCCATACTATTTGAGACTTAGCTATTTGGGTTTAAGTTTAAGGTAGTGCTTACCAGCCAACTCGTCAACCAAATTTGGGCTAAATACGGACGGACCGTGTGAAATTAACAGATCTGCAGTTTCGATTTACTATGGCATTATTATACCATGTCGGTTTACGAATTAAACATTTAAATTCAATTGATACTAGACTATACGTACAGCTTGCAAACTCTTCAATTACATTCACCGAGTTAATTGGTTTGCGGATATTTTAGTATAAACGTTATTTTTTTTAAATTTTTCGGCAAAAATAAACTTTATTTTCAATCAGTTGTGTTTATACGATTCTCCTTATAACAGTGATACACGCGATGTTTCCGAAATAAACGTTCTAAACATTTAAATGTCTTACGATAACATAATGACAGAAGCAAAACGTTACGAAGTATGTTTAACTGTCACAATAGACGGACAGTAATTGTTACATGCATATTATTGTATTATGAGGTAAAATTGTATACGAACAATATAATATAATGATGTAATACGAGTAATATCACAAGTTACTTGGACTTAAATAAATTGTTTATTTTATGCTAAACTTACAACTTTAAATTGGCATATTTTTGTCGTCTATGATTGATAACATTATGGTTTGACTTACTTGAGACAAATTCTTCTATCAATTAAAAAGTTATCCGCAACCATCATGATGCGCTTACTTTGTTTATTGTGACCGCCGCTGTAAATACCGGTCTGATTAAATAATGTAATCTGTCTGCTGTGCCATACCACCATATCCTGACTGTTAGCCAATGAGAAAATTTTACACAGAACAGTCGCAACATTATGTAATGATGTGTCACAGACTTCCCTTATTAACGTATAGTAAATATCTACCTTAATCACTTGATGCTCGATGTTAACCTAATTTGTCCATGATGCATTGCCATTC